GGATCGGGGATATCGGGTGCGCTTCGTTAGGGGTTCGTTTTTTTTTTCTTTTTTAAAGAGAGAAAACAACAAAAAAGAAAAGCGAAAGAAATAGAAACACGCACGGGGCTTCATCGACGGCGCGCGGTCGACGGAGAAACGCGCGACGCGCTCTTTTTTTTATGGAGTTCAGGTGTCGATAAATATTTTCCGACTTTTCTTTCTTATTTTGGAATTTTTAGATTTTTTTGGGGGGTAGTTTTGGATCTTTTGGTGTCGAAATCACGCTTCCCGAATAATCTCTGCCAAGTGGATCATTGTTTCTCGTCTTAACTCTTCGCGTCCCGAAAGATGCTTTAACGTTATTTTATAAAAAAAATTCGAATTGAAAAGAACGTGGCTCTTCGTGAATTGAAAGATTATATCTCGAACATAATTTATTATAACATTATATTATGTATATTATATTTATCATATATTATTATTATGTATATATATATAATTATATATATTATTATATTATGTATATGATATAATATATATTAATTAATATATACATATAATAATAATATATACGATATATAATTATAATATATAATAACAACATAATAATAACATACTATTAATAATAAAATATCAACTCGTAGCGAGCGTGTTTCTCCGTCGATCCCTAGAGGCCTGTCCCGTCCATTGAATCGCGGTTTCAGGTTAGCAACTGAACATGTATCTTTGTTTTCAATTCTTACTTTTGACGATGAGTTTGGCGGAGGTTTCTACGGTGCCGGCTGAGGTGGTGGCTCGGCAGGTGAAGGTGCCAGTGTCCTCTTCGTATGTTGTCGCTATGAGGAGGACGGCGTTGTTGCCCTCGTGTATCATCTGGAATTCGAAACGTTTTACGTGTCCATTAAATAAATTCGTTTCTATCGATACAACGATTTCTCCCGGAAATACGAAATTTCGGATCGTCGTGATTTTTTTTCTTCCGGTTCTACGCCTATGTAATTTATCACTACGGTCTCGATTTCGATTTTCGAACATTTCTGGGAGAGATCACTGCAATTTTGTATTATGACTGTGAGACAAACGTGTTAACCATTTGCATTACGAGGCCCTTAGGCACTTAAATTTGTTGTATCACGTTCCAAGATAATTTTTATAAATTGAAAATGATTAAAATAAAATTACAATTATAATAAATTAAAATTATAACTTAAAAATTTATGTAAATTAAAATTATAAATTTAAAATTTATATAAACTTTATATATATATATTAAATTTATAATTTTAACTTTTTTTTATATATATTAATAATTATAATTATTTATTATAATTGTGTTATTATTATTATTTAATTAATATAAATGTATTATTATTTATTTATTGTAATATATAATTATAGTATAATTATTAATAATATTATATATCAAATGAAAATACTGTAAGTCAAATAAAGTTATTTTAGATTTATAGTTGAAATAGTTTCGAGTACAAAGGGTTGACGTGGGAACCGTGGATACGCATTGGATCGAGAACTTACCTGGAAATCGGGCGACTGCGGGATCAGGGCACCTTCGCGATACCATTGGATGGTCGGCTTTGGTTTAGCTGGTGTCACTTGGGTCTTGAACTGAGCTGGTTGCCCTTCCACGACTATTTGGTCCTTCAGCGGTGTCACTTTGGGCAGGGTATCGGCCGCGTCCGGGGCTATTTTGAAATCGATAGCAACGTCGACATAAATTAGACACCGAACAAATGTGAGATCATCGATTATTGTAATTTGAAGAAAATGATTATAATAAAAATTGTGAAATGCTTTCTTGCAATAATCGAAAGTATATTTGTTACTGGGAAATAATCTTTTCAATTGTAAAAAATAATTTTGCTTGGATGTCGACGTCAGAACTAGTTAGATTATTATAATAGAATGTATATAATATATGTATATATATACATATATTATACATATATGCATACAAAATAATATAATAATAAAATAATATATATAATAAAATATATAATAATAATAATATATATAATATAATATAATATAACTACGAAATGACTTCTTATTACAACAATCGAAAGGACAATCGTTACATAAAAGGAACATAATTATTAAAAATAATTTCCGTTAAAATTCGACGTCATAGCTGATTAGATTATAACGATCCTCACCAAGGACTCTGAGATTAGCCGACGTGGTGACATCGCCGGCTGGATTCTTGGCGATGCACTTGTAAACACCCTCGTCTTCGGGGAAGGCTTCCGAGATCCTCAAAGTACAGAGATCACCTTCCTTCTGCATTTGGAAGTACTTGGACGGTTTGATTACCTGTGGCACGCAGTTTGGAAAGTTTTAAGATCATTCTAAATTCGGACACCGACGTTCAGCTTGTACACAAGAATGGAAAAGTTTTGGAAGAGGGAAAGAACGATTATTCGGATCTCGCGGCTCATTTTTATAGTTGTCGACAATCGGCGACTATAAAAACGAGTCGTGAATCGTGTCCATTTTTTGCTTAGAAGGTGAGAATTCAATTCGTCCGAACTGAAAAGATACCAAGAAATTATGACGCCTTGGTATCTTTGGATAATCGAAGCTTAACTGGTACTTTTACAAAAATAATATAACAATAGATATTAATAAATTGAGATCATGATAGACTCGAAATTGAAAGTGCAAGAAGACAGTGTTAATCTGATTTTAGATAAATGGATACATTTTATTCTTCAGTTAGCTGGCACATGAAACTTTTACTACAAAATAAAAATGATTAAACTAAAACATAATAATAAAAAATAAAAAATAAAATACAAACATAATAACAAAACACGAAATAAAATACAAACATAATAATAGAACGCGAAATAAAATACGAGCATAATAATAAAACGCAAAATAAAATAACAAGCATAATAATGAAACACAAAATAAAATACGAGTATAATAATAAAATACAAAATAAAATACGAGCATAATAATAAAATATAAAATAAAATGTCACAAGTGACACCTGAATAAATGAAAGAAGTTTTACAAATTTGAACAGATTTCTCGAAGCAACGTAGAACAATCAGTATACTTTCGCATGAACGACGAACGATGTATAATAAATAGCTAAATGAAATAATGGGTTGTTTGAACATCTTTTATACCTTGTCGCCCTTTTTCCATTGCACCGTTGGTACCGGTTTCCCAGAAATCCTGCACGAGAACGCAACAGCCGTTCCCTCTCTGATCGTTTGATCTTTCAACGGCTCCAGAACCGCCGGAGCCTTCTCGACGCCAGGCGTCGTTGGCTTCGCCATTTTCGTAGGCGACTGTGGCCCTCGTACAGTACACTCGCCGTCGCAACGAGCCTCTCCGGCGCTATTTAGCGCAACGCACTCGTACTTCCCGGAGTCCTCCGGCACCGTCTCCAGGATCAGCAGAGTGTAAATGTTGTCCTCCTCGAGCGTCTTATAACGGATGTCCGCTGTTACTTTCTTGCCGTTCTGCAACGATTCGGACGAAAACGTTTTTAGGAATTTTTTTAGGAACAACGAAAGCCCGTCAAAAAAATTGAAAATTGAAAATATAGCAAGGGTTACTTTGAAGCGTCGTAATTGTGCGAAAAAAATCGCAGCTAAGTTTCTTTTTTTTTAAATTGAAGGGGAAGGATCGAACTTCGTTCGACTGTAAACGGCAGCCGTAAAAAATTCTACGAAGTCCGTGCATTTCGTCGAAGTTGACAATTTCCAACGTGACAATTTTCAACGTGACAAACATGGCCTCACATTTAAAGGGATATAGTGGTGACGGCGCATCAAACTTAAAATCAGGAAACAAACAACAGGAAGCAGATGTTTCAAGCTTTAATTTCACATGAAGATCATCACTCTACGATGATTTATCGCGGAGTTATCGTCGGTCGAAGTTGGCCAATTTTCATCCAAAAGTGGCCAAAATTGCATAAAAATTGGCCAACTTTGACCGATGATTACTTCGCGAAAAATCATTGTAGGACGATGATCTTCATTTCAAATTAAAGCTTGAAACCTCTACTATGCGATACTGTTTCTCGATTATGAGTTCGTCGCACCCTCACTACTGTGACCGTTTAAATGTGAGGCCATCGAAAATGGACATCGAGGAATGAACATTTGCGGAAATTTTCTACGAGGCTTTGTTTACGAGTTATCAACGAAAGAACGCTAACCAGTAAGAGAGCGCGCACTGCTGGTGCCTCGCCCTCGCGGCCCCTGCCGCTGCGTCGGACGGCCGGCGCGACGCGGCATTGGCCACGAGGACGGAGCGCCAGCCTCGCTCGCCTCTCATTGGTCGCTGCTTCTTCGTTAATAACTCGTTAACGAAGCCTCGGAGAAAATTATCGCAAAGGAAAAAGTTACTTCAAATAATCCGAGGAATCTGCCTAGTATCTCGGAAACTAGGTTTAGCGTTGAATGATTGAACGAGAGGTACCTTTAACCAATAAACGTCCAGAGGTTTAGTTCCAGTGACTTTAGCGTCGAATCTGGCCAGTTGGCCGGTGGTCACCGAGGTGTTTTGTATGGTCGAGAGGAAACTGGGTGGCACCACTCCGCCACGCCCGGGTTGTCTCCTGCGCTCCTCGACGACCAGATTGGCGCTGCATTTCGCTTTACCGCCCCTGTTCTCAGCGATCACGGAGAACACGCCGGAGTCTTCCATGAACACCTGCCGGACGATCAGCACGGACTTCGTGCTGAACGTGTAGATCTGCAGATCCGGCGAGTTCTGGATCGGGAAGTCCTCGCGGTACCATTTGATGGTCGGCAATGGGTCGCCATCGAACTCGACCTCGAAGCGTGCCTGTTCTTGTTCGAACGCTCTGCACGGCTGGATCTTCTTGGTGAAGACAGGCGGCTTCGCCGGCTTCACCGAGCCCTCGACGACGCGCTCCTGGGTCTTCGCCTTGTGCTCCATCTCGGTGGTTTCCGTGGCCGTTATCTTCCTCGTAATCTCCAGGTCGCCCTTCACCTCCTTCTGCGTCTGCTTCTGCTTCGCCACGTGCACCTCCCGGCCGTGGATCGTCGACTCCGACGGACCCGGCGGATACTTTCCGCTGACCTTGCTACGCTCTACGTCGATGTCCACCTCCGTCGTGAACGGCTTCTTCACGAACTTCGTGGCCTGTGTTGTCTCCTGGGTCGTCGCCTCGTCCTTTTTGTCCTCCCTGTAAACGATATTTTTTTAGGGCCGAAGAACGAAAAAAAGAATTATATATGTATATATGTATATATGTATAATTCGATTACATACGTATTATATAAATATAAACTTTATGTGTGTATAAATAAATGAATAGACAAATAAATGAATACGAAAATAAATGAATATAGAAATGAATGAATAAAAAGAATAAATGAATAAAACAATAAATTAATAAAAAAGTAAATGAATAAAAAATTAAATGAGTACACAAATAAATGAATAAAAAAATAAATCAATAAAAAGAATAAATGCGTACACAAATAAATGAATAAAAAAATAAATCAATAAAAAAGTAAATGAGTACACAAATAAATGAATATAAAAATAAATGAATACAAAAATAAATGAATATAAAAATGAATGAATATAAAAATAAACGAACACGCGAACAAATAAATGGACAAATAAATGGATACGTACAAGGTCTCTTCGTACTTCTGTGCCATTCCCTTGGCGACAGAGTGCGCGACGATCTTCTCCCCGGGAATGGCGAACTGGTGGCTGGACTCCCTGAGCCTGCTCTCCTTCAGCACCTGTTCCTCCTCGAGGTTCATCAGCTTGCTGTAATAGTCCTCGTTCTTCTTGCTCTTGACGGACTTCTGCCAGTCGGTCTCGGGCTCCTTGATCACCTTCTGGCCGAGATGCTCGGTCGCGATCTCGATACCTTGGGACACGTTGTGGTGCCTCTCGTCGAACACTTTCTCGAGCTCTGTGTTCTGTCGTTCCGTTTGGTATTGGGTCAGCCCGTAATCATACCACGCTAGGGAAAATCCACGTTAGACCGTTCCGCCCTTCGAATATGCCACGCGAGAGACAACGCATGCCAGACGAACATGAACCATTCCGGTCCGCAAACGATCAATCCATTATGGAAGTGCAACGTTCAATCGCGACGGACGAAACATTAATGAATTTTATAATTTCTTCCTTTTTTTGGCTTTTTTTCTGGAGAGAAACTCTCGGTTGCGACGAGTATATCCAAGAATTGCTTTTCGATCTTCAGATTGTGTGCCCTTACGGAGACATTATCATGTTACAGTAATGTCTCCCTTACTGACGCTCAGATCGTCCACAGAAATGGACAATTTGGGAAGAGGAGACACGATTATTCGAGCCTTGCAGAATCGTTGACAATTCATGACTATAAAAACAAATAGCAAAGCTCGAATAATCGCATCTCCTCTTCCCAAATCGTCCATTTTACTGCGCAATCTCAGCGTCAATAAGGGAGACATTACTCTACTTGTTTATTCATTTGATTTACTTACTTATTTATTTATTTATTTGTAGATGTGTACATGTTATTTACTTATTTGCTTGTTTATATAGATATGTACATTTATACATTTTTGTTTTATGTACATATATACAGATACATATTATTTATTTATTTATACATTTATGTGCATACATTGTACATATAAATAATATGTATATATCATAAATTGTATATATACATAAACAATATGTATATATTATAAATTGTATATATACATAAACAATATGTATATATTATAAATTGCATATATACATAAATAATATGTACATACTATTTATAAATTGTATATATGTATACATAAATAATATTATATATGTATATATTATATATCATATAAACAAATAAATAAATAAATAATGAAATTACGAACAGACTGCACACAAATCCTGATTCACTTGATCCATGGATTTCAATGAAATCGAAATGATTTTAATGTAATGAAAATTTGTCAAGAGAGGAAGTTCGCTAATTTTTTTCATCACCGCTATGATTTCTTAAAATATTATCACTGTATTTCTGGGCCATTACAAACAATTTTATTATTATTATTACGCGAATTCTTTGAAATCGAATTCTCAAGAGTTTTCCGTTCAGTCGAAAAGGAACGTTGCATTCCCGCAACAAAAGACAATTCTCTAGAACCACTGGGAAATACGACACAGTACTTTATTGGCGATGCAACACATATCGACGTCTCCAGCACGGGTAGGACAAGGTGCCCGGATACCAGACTACGGAGACGGAGATGGACGTCCGGTCGGTTGAAGTTAGATCACGTGGTTAACAACACGGTTTCTCATTCCTTCCCTTTCTTTTGCTTTCCGTCATTCCAAAATACAGTAACATTTCCAAGGGTCAACACATTGGCATTCCCGCGATCTCGGAAGGGGGATCTTTCTAATTTTTTTTAGGTGATCTCTCTAATTTTCTTTTTCGAGAACCCGCGCTCGCGCGCCACGGAGATCCAGCGGTCTCGAAATCGAATGTTCGATTCTCGTCGAAAACAATCGATAGATCGGATCGGCCTGGCTGGATCTCTGTGCGACGCGAGACGCGACACGTGTGGGAAACGTGGGCGACAAGGAACATCTCGTTACAACAAAGTCTTCACCTGCCGGCGCACTGCGGGAATAAATGTTCGAGTTTGCGCCAAAAATCGTCGAACTTTCGAATGAGAGATTGCCGAGGTCATTTGAAGCAACTTTATCCTTTACAAAAACGAGTTATTAATGAAAAACAGTGACCAATCGGAGATCGAGTGCGGCCGGCGCTCCGCCCACGCGGCCAATGCCGCGTCGCGCCGGCCGTCCGACGCAGTGGCAGGGGCCGCGAGGATGGGGCGCCAGCCGTGTGCGCTCTCTCAGTGGTCAGCGTTCTTTCGTTGATAACTCGTAAACGAAGCCTCGTAGAACATTTCCGCAAAGGAAAAAGTTACTTCAAATGACCTTCGAAACCCGTCGTTTTCTGGAAAGACCATAATTTCGGGGCTTTTGCGATAGTTCAATTTTAGAATTTTTTAAATTTGCGTTAAGAAGGAAAAATCGTCTGTCCACCTCATTCCTCAGTAGAGAGTTCTACGAACTTGACGCGAACCTGCTCATGTTTTCCCCATCGTGCATCAGCGATTAGGTGCGATTAATGTTGACACTGGGCACGACAATGGACAGCACTCGAAATGCGGACATCGTTCGGTTAATCGCGCTTAAACGGATCGTCGATGTCACCGGCGGGGTAGTGGGAAGGGAGGGGGGGTTCACGCGGTTCAGTCGTGGAACGAAGAAACAATAGATTAAATAAAGTTCATGGGGATCAACAAAAGCAACCGAAAGAAAATCTGTCTGAAAGAAAAAAAATATTAAGAATAATATTAAAAAACAGTCAACGCAAACCCGTTTCTCTTTTCTTTCCAGTGAACATCAGGCATCGGACGACACGGAGGAAAACATTTTGCTCGAGAAAATGATCGTCTGTCATTCTGATCCATCGATCGATAATCGTTCGATCGAGTTGCTCTTCGAACAATCGAAGAATTGAATTATTTCAAATATAAGTATCTCAAATGCGAAATATTCGACGCTGGAACGGCGGACGTTACCCGCGAAAATATTACAGAGTATATTACAGAATGATCAATTATAATTTTGTTTATTAATTCTAATTTTATTGTATGCTGTTATATCTATTATTATATTTTATTGTATATTGATATATCTGTCATTATACTTTATTATACATTGATTATAATGTATAAATAAATATTATAATAATTTAATTTTTCAATCAGAGCTTCGCGAGAATGTTCCCAACGAGATCTCGGGAACAAGAGAAACGCCGTTCGAGCGTCGAAGCGAGTACGTTCGCTCTGAAACATTTTTCTCCGCGCCGACGTCCACAGTTACATATACGGAAATGAACAAAATGAAAAAACAATAACGATACAGATAGTCTATGTGTGCTCTCACGATAGTATATTCCATACCTGAACGCCGGCTTGCGAAGCCAAGCAGCCGATAGCTTTCGCTTTAGGCGACATTGCTCGAATACGCTCGTCGAATCCCGAAACCCCGAAGAAGAAGAAGAAGAAGACGAAGAAGAAGAAGAAGAAGAAGAAGAAGAAGAAGAAGAAGAAGAAGAGGAGGAAGTTGCGCTCGAGGTGCTCGAGGACGAGGTATCTATCTTTCGAATCCCTTCGTAATATTCGTATCGGTGAGGGAGTAGAAGGGGGAGGGAGGAGGACGATATATAAGGGCGGGGGGTGAGTCGGTGTTCGAATGGTGGTCTCGAGTGTTAAATCTGTGCTCGAATAGAATGCATGTGTCGTATCGATATCTCATGTACTGTGTTTCGGTTGTCGTTCGACCTTCATTCGACCTTCCGTCGAGTCCAACAACGACCGATCGATTTACAGGCTTCTCTCTTTTCTCGTGTGGTATTATTGTGCCGTTGTTCGATAATTTGCCGGATTCTCGTTTGTTCTCTGTATGTGCCTGCGTCCTTTGCGCCGTTCTTCCGCTAATTTCGATTTTTTTTTATTTTTTTTTTTTTGACAGCAAAGTGTGGCTTTCGAGCGGCCCGCATCATCCGCAGCAATCGGACAAATCGAACGCGTCGAAGAATAATTTCTCGCGACACGTCGAGACGTCGCAGCGGCGCAAAGGATGCGACGACACGTTCATGTAAGAGAGTCTCTGTTCCAGGATCAACTTACGCCTTGGCGAGTTCTTCAACACGCCGCGATAATCGTCGCTCCTCGCCTTCACCGTCAGACTTGTCTCGGTGCGGGCCTCGCCCACCGAGCTGCGGGCGATCACCTCGACCTTCCCGTGGTCGTACTGCCTCGTCTTCGGGATGTCCAAGTGGTACATGCCGTCGTAGGTCAGCTTGTACCGCGATCCCTAAACAAATCGACGATTGAATCGACAATTAAACGCATGGACAAATATTCTGATAAAAATGAGCCGACTTTGACCGGCGATAATTCCGCGAAATATCGTCGTAGGACGATGATTCTTTTTTTAAATTTTTTTAAATTTTCTCGATTTCAAGGTTCCCGCGTCCTCGTCGCTGCAACTCATTAAATATAAGACCACAATTCTCATATTAAAAGTTGCCATACTCCGCGAAACGCACGGGCAAATTTTCGCTTCGTGAAATTTTTTTCGGAGATGCCGTTTATCATTTTACGACGATTTTTCGCGGAATTATCGCCGGTGAAAGTTGGCCAATCTCTTTTTTTTNTTTTTTTTTTTTTTTTTTTTTTTTTTTTTTTTGGGGGGGGGGGGGGGGGGTAAGGAACCAATTTTTTTGGACCTGGTACAATTGTAGGAAGATGGAGTGAAATTTTTGTGCGACTTCTGGTTCTTGGGACGGATGTGCGACGTTTTTATTCCGCATAGAAATCCGCGATCTAGCGTCAACTGAAACTCACGTTGACCACGGTGTGTCCGTTGATGATCCACATGACACGTGGTCTAGGATGACCGGTGACGCGGCAGCAGAATCTGGACCAATCGCCCTCTTCAACGGTCACAGGTTCCGGTTTGCTGACGAACGTCGGCGGCGCGCGCACCTTCTCTTCTTCGCCCTCCTCCTCGGGTACTCTGTAACAAGCGTCCCTTGATTGCACACAAACACGGTCTATAAGGCATACAGGGTGTCCCAAAATTATTTTGCTTCCAGGAAATGAAGGGTTCGCGAGTACGAAGTGAAAGTCTGTCGATAAGATTACAGGAAACAGAAATGAAATAAAAATTTAAAAAAATAGCGTGACAGCGTTAAATCCTTCGCAATTGTACAGGGTGTCCTATAATTATATTAATTATATTGGAAAGGGGTGATTCCTGAGGTGATTTGAAGCAACTTTTTCCTTAGCGAAAATGTCCTACGAGGCTTCGTTTACGAGTTATTGACGAAAAACACTGGCCAATGAGAGGCGAGCTCGCTCGGCTCTAGGCGGCCGAGCCAATCAGCGCCACCGGGCTTCGACCGTTCGTTGGCCCGGCCGCCTGGCGCCTGCCGCGCTCGCCTCTCATTGGCTGGCGTATTTCGTCGATAAATCTTAAACGGCGCCTCGTAGAACATTTTCGCTAAGAAAAAAGTTGCTTCAAATCACCTCAGAAATCTATCATTTCTAGGAACCCTGTGCATTTATACCACGTTTACTGAATTTCTCAATTCTCCGCGATTCTATGAAATAAATGGCTATCAAATTGGGAATAACAATGCGGCTAATAAGTCGGCAAGAAATATCAAAAATATGTTTTGAAGAATTGCCGGTTAAAACTAGGAATTGTTATAAAAATCGTGAATAAAATACAGTTGCGAAAATGATGCGCCATTCGAAGGTTAAGGATCACTTCGAATCGAATGTGGTAAGACGAGTAAAGGAAATTTTTAACATGTCTTATTTCGAATTAGAAAACAATTTCTATGCTAAATTAAATTGTTTTTAAATTCGAAGGTCTACAAGGTAACATAATCTTTCTGCGTTGTAATTATTGTAATTATGAAAGCTCTTTCCTGGGAAAATGATTGAATACATTTATTTATTTATACGCATGTCACGTCAAAAATCATGCACAGTTTGAAAGAATAAAGTCAGCTTTATAAATAAATAAATGAGTTTTATAAGGCAATCAAAGTTAACCGATTACAGGGCTAGACAGTTTTAGCGTCGAGACGTTGCATTCAAATACGTCCGGTTTTAGTGGCGTCACGTAATCGAACCCAGAATGGACCTATCCTAAAATGCGCGTCATCGCGAATTATTCGGGTGAATCAGTTGCGTCGCGAGAACCAACGATTTCCTTCGGAAAGAATATACGTACATCTGCCATGCGGCTTCCATCTCTCTGATCTTCTCGATGCTCTTCATGCCCTTCGGCAGCTGAGACTCGTAGATGATTCCAGGCTTGCCAGCCGTTCGGATCACCGCCCTAGTTTCGTCCATGCCGTAGAGATTGGTCGCTCTGCAGAGATACTCGCCGCTGTCCTCCGGATAGACCCAGCCGAAGTTCATCGCGACGTAACCGAAATCATAGATTGGCGTGAACCTGTTCTTGTGGGGCAACGGTTTGCCGTTGAAAAACCACTCGACCTTCATGTTCGGGTCGCCGACCGGCGCCAACTGGCACTCGAACTTCGTGCTGTTCATCTCGACGAGCTCGGTCTGGTCCAGGATCTGTGTGACGAAACGCGGAGGCTGCTTCTTGTCCGCGTCGTAGAGGTCGTCCTCGGTCAAATGCACCTCCGACGTGTACTTCTTGATGGTCGCTTCCATTTGCATCAACGCCTCCGACTTCTTCATACCCTTCGGCACTTGATTCTGCAGGATGATGTTGGGCAATCCTGCGTAAATAATTCATAAATTATTCGTAATTAATGTAACTGAATTATTTTGGAATTCGTGATTAAAAAAGGTGACTGAATTATTTTGGAATTCGTAATTAATGTAACTGAATTATTTTGTAATTTGAAATTAATGTAACTGAATAACTTAGTATGTTGTAATTAATGTAACTGAATTACTGAATATGTTGTAATTTGTAATTAATGTAATTGAATCACTCAGTATCTTGTAATTCCTGATTAATGTAATTGTATCACATAGTATCTTGTAATTCGTGATTAATATAATTTAATCACATAGAGCATCTTGTAACTCGTGATTAACGTAATTAAATCACTTTGTATTTTGTAATTGTACTCCTATTGAATTACGAGCTACATTGCAATTTAATTGAATTTCAATTTGAATTACGAGCTACATTGAAATTTAATTGAATGTCAATTTGAATTACGAGCTATATTGCAATTTAATTGAATGTCAATCTGAATTAAGAACTACATTGCAATTTTATTGAATGTCAATTTGAATTACGAACTACATTGCAATTTAATTGAATGTCAATCTGAATTACGAATTACGATCGATTATTATTTGGTACAAAATTCCGGGGTCCAGTCAGTTTTAGACTACGATTACTATGAAAAGTTACAAATTTCTGTTAACAGATATTCCAGCAGTTCCACTTACTCTTGCACGAAACCGATGCCCTGGTAGTGTCCTCTCCGAAATCATTGATGGCCTTGCACACGTATTCGCCGGAGTCTTCCGGATAGACGTAAAGTATGTCCATAGAGACGAATCCCATGTCGTATGTGCTTCTGTATCTGTGTCCGGCCGGGATCATTTTACTGTTTCGATACCATTCGATGCGCAGGTTAGGATCGTCCTTTGGCTCCACGCGACATTCGAACCTGACCGGCTCCGACTCGTCCACGGTCGCCGATTGGATCTGAGTGATGAACTTCGGTGGTTGACGCGCCACCGGTTCCTCCGGCGGTGGTTCGCTGATCGGTCCGCGTTCCAGTTCCTTTAGCTTTTCGCCGCTCATGCCAGATGGTAGCTGGGACTCGAAGTCGATCGTTTTCTTCGCTGTAATCGTCGACGAATCGATTTATTAAGATTATCTGTCGTCTGGAAATATGGTCGATTCGTGCTCGTTTTTAACGCGAACATCGTCGCCGGTGTTTCGGTGTTCAATAGTGGTGGGAAAATTTAAAGAGTTTGCCTGGTACATGGAATTTTTTGTTTACTAATAGCTTTAATGAATAGATTTAATGAATAGTTCGAAGACGCAAGATTACGTTGGATAAACAGGAGGTATTAAGTGTAGTTGATTCATATACGATATTGCAAAATTCACAGATGTATATAATATTTGAAAAAGTTTTATAAGAGACGGGTTTCTCAGTGATTAATATAGTTTATATAAATAAACTATAGTCTGTATATAATATATATATTTAATATATAATAATAATATTTAATATATATTATAAATATTATATAAATAGACTATAGTCTTATTAATATCTTG